AATAATTTAACTAATTTGGTTAGAATATAAGAAGGAATTTACTTGTCCTTAATATTATATTCCTAACTTTTATAATCTATATAAGTCATGGAGACCTACTTTTGGTTTTTGACTTATTTTAAATTTATTTTAAGTTACTTTTGACCTTGTCAAACACTTCCTAACTTATTTTAAGTTATTTTTGACTTATTTACGTTACTATTTTGAGTAAATTTTAGGAATAACAAACATAAAAATCATATTAGTGCTCTATAACTACAATTTTGCTATTTGCAAAGCTCCATAGCAAACATAGTTTGCTTTCTAGAATCTGATTTGTATAAATTAGGCATTTGTGTCTATGAAAATTACGGTTGTATATGTATATGTTCTTCGTGTTAGGCTAGAGTGGCAGACGAGATTAGGAGAGCGAGGAAAGAGGCGAGCGAGAGAGTGGAGAGAGGTGAATTGTATATGTATATTGGTTCGATAATTGTATATATGTAACTAATATGTATATGTATCAATGATTGTGTTTGTATATCTGCATAAAAAATTAATTTGTTTACAATTGAATCAAGTTAATATACAATTGAATTGAGTTAAAGCACTTGTATTTGTATATCAAATTTCTCTCTCGCTTTATACAAACAAGGTGTTGTACATTGTATTTGTATAATTTGTGTTTGTATAAAGCGAGAGAGAAAGACAAAAGAAAATTGGGTAGGGGAAGATTTGTATTAGTATAATTATAAGTGTATAGGACGGATATATATATATATATATATATACAGTTTATCTCGCTTTATACAAACACAAACACAATGCATATACATTTGTGTTTGTATAAAAGTGAGATAGGCGAGGGAGAGAATTGAGAGTGACGAGCGAGATTCAAGGGAGAGAGGGCAGAATGACAATGTGTTTGCTACGAATCATAATTAAATGAAACTGTAGCTATAACATTTATTTTGAATTAATATTTAGCTATAATGCACAATTTGCCCTATTTTTTTTATATTTGTCAAACACTTTCAGAAGTCAAAAATTGACTTAAAAATAGGTTTGACCAACTTTTAAGCCAATTCAAACACCCTCTTCGTAACACATTTTATTTTCATTATATTTTATTCTTGAAAAAAATAATGTTTGATATTCTCGAATCACAAAATACTCATGGTTTCAAAATAATTGTAATGCAGCACTTGAAATACTTATATCAAATGGGTTCATGTATAGTGATAAATAATACTTTACCTCCTCTCATGCTAATGATTATTTAGAGTTTTACTATGAATACTTTATATATTGCGAATTTATTTTGCAAAAAATCTTCTTAATGGGGTTAAAACTTAAACAGTGACATCAGAATATCTTATTTATGTTGATCTCTAATACATATATAGAGATAAAAGATTTCAGAAAGTTAAAATCTAAATCTGGTCACCATCTTATTTTATAGAAAAAAAATAGTTCATTACCTAGTTAATTAGAGCCTAGAAAGAGTGAAAAAAAGAAAAGTTATGATTTGGGAAAGAAGTTATTTTTTTTTGTAAATTACAAGGTACTCGATTGATCTCAAGTTATGGTAAGAATTAATTTAGAAGTCAAGTATGCAAGAAGAGTTTATAGGAGAAGATACTCTTAGTCGAAGGTATGACAATTTTCTTAGCTTTAGGGTCAATCGAATAGATAAAAGATCTAATAAAATAGTGTTTTTGATCCCAGAAAAACTATCATAGTGATTCTAGTAGGTTTGAAAGCAAATGAAACAAACTGGGATAATGCTTTTATGAAAGAGTTGTGTGGACAATCCGACTATGCTTTACATTTGCTCTACATGCCGCACATAATATTTCTTCTAAACGAGTCCCTTTTTTATTTGGAAGATGGATATTGCGTTCTGTTCGAAAGACATGGTTTTCAATATGTCTCCGGTTAAGACTCACACTAGTCCGACTAGCTAGTGAATGATTCTTTCAGGCGGGAAGCAGGTCAGACCCTATGAGCAGATATATCCTACAACATAAGCAACAATGTTCGACACCACCCGAGAAGCAAAAGATTTGTGAGTCGTAACTAAAAATACATGCATAGACATCAAAATTTAATTTTAGATATCCCTAATTGAATTAAAGTTTGAGTGAACAGAGCCTTTTGTCACAGACTTAGAGTCTCATTAATGCACAGTGCGACACTTGACAACTTACTCATGATTCTTTCACGGTCTTATAAGATCAAGTAAGCATTTTGAAGCTAGATCGCTATGAAAATGTAAAGAAAGACAAGAGAACTTTGAAAGAAGGTTTTGTATTGCTTTGTGGAAGATTGCTTACACTTTGTTGGATGATTTTGTAAATGGGAGGCCCTCTATTTATACTACTCCCTAAGGGCCTAAGTGTAAATAATAATTACTTTACAAGTTCCTATAATATTACACTTTAGTCCACATTCTAGAATTCTCTACAATTTCTAGAAAATTCCCAAGTCTTCTTAAAATATCCAAGGGATTCTAGAGTTCTCCATAAGCCTCTACAATTTCTAGGGAATTTCAATGTCTTCTTGAAATATCTAGGGGGTTCTAGAGTTCTCCATAAGCCTCTCTGTAACTCTAGATTCTTCTCCCCTATTTCAGTGCCGAATTTGAGAAGCAAAGTGGCAGGACATGACACTTTGCACTAAAATAGTAGCCGGCAAAATTCAACAAGTGTTTTTCACTAACCGAAGAAGTTTAAAGAATCTCCTAAAACATTTCTAACAGAAAATAATCAATACATTATACATATACCAGAAAAACAAAAGATGAACATCAAAGTTGATTTGTCTCATTAAACCGTTTGTATAAGATTAAGTTTGAAACGAACAAAGATATATGTTTTGGTGACAGTAGTTGAATTAACAACTATTATATCCCTAGAAGAATTAATATTTCAAACGAACAACTGGCATTCTCCCCTACATTTCCTTTCTCCCTTGCCTCTACCATCCATCCGACTTTACTTCAACTCCAATTTTCCCGCAAAGAACTCTTGTCCCGAATTCTTTGATCCTCAATAGATCTGAAGTACCTTTCATCATCAGCATCCGCAATATCAACAAAATTTTGATTAAAAGACGAGGATTCTCTTTAGAAATTCTAATGACATGCAATATAGTTGCAGGGGTATAATAGCTCCCATAACTAATGTTTTGGAAATATTATCATCCTGCATCATATCAATTTTTGAACCAAAATCTCTAGTAGTGTGTAGAATGCCACTTGAAGATGTAGACTACTGCAATTTTCTTCTTCCAAGTTTTTCAAGTGCATCAACAAATTTCTAGTAGTGTGTAGAATGTCACTTGAAGATGTAGACACTGCTGCAATTTTCTTCTTCCAAGTTTTTCAAGTGCATCAACCTTTATTTTCTTATGTTGGGTTCCAAGAGATACACTTTGATCTGTAAAATCAACCGTCGTTTATTTGTGTGAGACAATAGTAAATGCACAAATTATATGAAAATGTGGAAAATTCAAGTTTACCCTTAAAGCAAGGAACATGTAGTCGGGAGCTTTGAAGTTCTAGAAAATCACTAATATAAATACCAAATGACTCCTTCAATTGATGATGAGGCAAGAATGATCCATTGTAGATACATGAATTTTCATACAGTGGGGGAATGTTGTAAGGGTAAAAGGTCTTTCTTGATATCTAGACAATTGTGTTGCTAACATGCCCTCATTGAAAAAAGGATTCAAAGACCTGATACCTTAGATGCTCTTGTCCTCAACTCTTATTGAATTCGTACTTTTAAGGTCACTTACCGTCTTTCCTTTTTGAACTGAGCTAATAACAACTTTTCCAAATTTATGATTTTCATGTAGATTGTAAGGTTGAAAAGATGTGTTCTGCGCAATAGAAATTTTTACAGGACTTGATATTTCAACATTGTGCGACCCCATCTGGTGGGGACAGGAGAAGAAATTTGCACTGAATTTGAAAGTTTGGTTGTTCGATCCTTAACTTGTGTTGTTGCAGTATTACTTCTGAGCAATCCATCATTAGCATAAGATGGATTAAAATTGATTGATCCTGAATTTTTCCATGTAATTACTCCATTTTGGATTTGGGGATAATTCCTTTTATGAACATCCTCATATTACCTGTTGGTGGCATATAAGTGGATGCTCTTTTTTCTGTAACCATCTCCATGGAAATACTCTATTTTGGGTTTGGGGATAATTCCTTTAATGCAAATTTATAAGTTGATGCTCTTTTTTTGGTAACCTTTAAAGGTCGTTGATTTCTTTGTAGTATTGAGCTATGATTCAGGTCAATGATTGGGTTGAGGTTGTGAAACTATTTCTCTTGGATTGATCTGAGAACTTTGAAAGAAGGTTTTGTATTGCTTTGTGAAAGATTGCTTACACTTTGTTGGATGATTTTGCAAATGGGAGGCCATCTATTTATACTATTCTCTAAGGGCTTAAGTGTAAATAATAATTACTTTACAAGTTTCTACAATATTACACTTTAGTCCACATTCTAGAATTCTCTACAATTTCTAGAAAATTCCAAAGTCTTCTTAAAATATCCAAGGGGTTATAGAGTTCTCCATAAGCCTCTCTGTAACTCTAGATTCTTCTCCCTATTTCGGTGCCGAATTTGAGAAGCAAAGTGATGGAACATGACACTTTGCACTAAAATAGTAGCATGCACTAAAATAATAGCCGACAAAATTCAACAAGTGTTTTTCACTAACCGAAGAAGTTTAAAGAGTCACCTAAAACATTTCTAACAGAAAAGAGTCAATACATTATGCATATACCAGAAAAACAAAAGATGAACATCAAAGTTGATTTGTCTCATTAAACCGTTTGTATAAGATTAAGTTCGAAACGAACAAAGATATATGTTTTGGTGACAGTAGTTGAATTAACAACTATTATATCCCTAGAAGAATTAATATTTCAAACAAACAACCAGCATTCTTCCCTGCCTTTCCTTTCTCCTTTGCATCTACCATCCATCCGACTTTACTTCAACTCCAGTTTTCCCGCAAAGAACTCTTGTCCCGAATTCTTTGATCCTCAATAGTTCTGAAGTACCTTTCATCATCAGCATTCGCAATATCAACAGGATTTTGATTAAAAAGACAAGGAGGATTCTCTTTAGAAATTCTAATGACAGGCAATATAGTTGTAGGGGTATAATAGCTCCTCATGTCTAATGTTTTGGAAATATTATCATCTTGCATCATATCAATTTTTGAACCAGAATTTCTAGCACTGTGTAGAATGCCACTTGAAGATGTAGACTGCTGCAATTTTCTTCTTCCAAGTTTTTCAAGTGCATGGGCCTTTCTTTTCTTCTGTTGGAGTCCAAGAGATACACTTTGATCTGTAAAATCAATCGTCTTTTATTTGATTGAGCCAATAGTAAATGCACAAATTATATGAAAATGTGGAAAATTCAAGTTTACCCTTAAAGCAAGAAACATGTTGTCGGGAGCTTTGAATTTCAGGAAAATCACTCATATAAATACCAGAGGACTCCTTCAATTGTTGATGAGGCAAGAATGATCCATTGTAGATACATGGATTTTCATGCAAGAGAAACGGTGGGTGGATGTTGTAAGGGGTCAAATGTCTTTCTTGATATCTAGACAATTGTATTGCTAACATGCCCTCATTGGAAAAAGGATTCAAAGACCTCATACCTTTGATGCTCTTGTCCTCAGCTCTCATTGAATTCGTACTTTTAAGGTCACTTACCGTCTTTCCTTTTTGAACTGAGCTAATAACAACTTTTCCAAATTTATGATTTTCATGTAGTTTGTAAGGTTGAAAAGCTGTGTTTTGCGCAATAGAAAATTTTATTGGACTTGATATTTCAATATTGTGCAACCCCCATTTGATGGAGACAGGAGAAGAAACTTGCACAGAATTTGGAAGTTTAGTTGTTTGATCCTTAACTTGTGTTGTTGCAGTATTACTTCTGAGCAATCCATCATTCGCATAAGATGGATTAAAATTGGTTGATCCTGAATTTCTCCATGGAAATACTCCATTTTGGGTTTGGGGATAATTTACTTCCTTCCAATTTCTAAACATCCTCATATTACTTGTTGGTGGCATATAAGTTGATGCTCTTTTTTCTGTGACCTTTGAAGATCTTTGATTTCTTTGTAGTATTGAGCTATGACTCAGGTCAATGATTGGGTTGAGGTTGATGAAACTATTTCTCCTGGATTGATCTAATTGAACCAAATTTGATTGTCTTCCAGACGAAATTACTTCTTTCTGTAAAGATTCACTTGATCCAACCCCATTCACCTTGAGAGGCTCACAACTTTTATTGTCCTTCAGTATAGTCGGCCAATATGGAATGTTCTTTCTTTGAGTTGGGTCATTTTTAGCATGTTTTTGAGCATTTGTGAAGCTTTTTAGAGTTTGACGTAACTTCTCTTGATATAACTCATTTTCTGACTGACAAACCGCCATCCTCATACCCTTATCCATAGGTGGTGCAACTCTATTTAGCTCCATGGACATACTATTCGCTGAAATTAGTTTAGCATTCATAGAGCTTCTCCCCAAATTGAATTTTCCACTCAACAATTCGGTCATCAACCGCACTTTTTGAGTTTTACGACACTTTGCAACATTTGTGATATCTTCCTGCAAATCCCACCTACTATGTTTTCTTAAATTTGCATCACCTCCTTTTGATGTTTGATCTGTTTCCTTTCTCAATCTAAGAGAAGGTAGTCCAATTTTGTCTCCTACACTTCCATCAACTCCAATCTTATGAGTGTAATCAGCATACCAACACCACGTATGTTCTGAAACTTCTTCGGTAGGAAGTTGCTTTGAGGGGTTACTGCTTAATTCAAAAGGCGAATAGATTATATATAATGTCTTTCTTTTACATCTCAGCAACCTATTGATTGTATTGCAAAGAAATTCACCAATAAATATATTGATTTATTTCCTTTTCAATCTAAAGAGGAATTGATTTCACAAGTGAGCACTCAACTGTTAGTTATTTCTCCAAAATAAGTCACTTTTTATTGAAAAAAGAAAGAAAGATGATTTTCTGAAGTAGTAATTATTAGTATAGTTAAGTAAGTATATGAGAAATCAATCCTCTAATAGAGAAGAGATAATTGGATCTTTTTTCACAAAATAATTCTTTATTTATTATCTAGACATGAATATCAATGTAGGGAAAAAGGAAGATGATAATGTGTTCACTAATATCATGAAAAGAGTATTATGTCATAAAGAAAGATTTTAGATGACTTAATTAAGCGAACAAAAAGGAAAAAAAAAACTAATTTAGTGTACAAAAAATAACAAAAGAAACTAACCGTATCGAAAGATGCTGACAATCCCCACCATTCATTCGTACTGGCAATGGAAGATTAAGATCAATAGGTGATTTTGAATCACTTGCATCATGAGTATCTCCTTCACTTGATGTCTCCATCTAACTCAAAAACAAATACATAAGATCCAATTATAATCATACTTTAATATGTACAATAAATGTTTGTTTGTATCATAATTCAAACATATATTTAATGATATATATATATATATATATATATAGATTAGCATGTGTTTAATTTTAAGCTTCTCTAAATTCAAAATTATATGATACAAATCTAATACATTTAATGCAATAGTAATGATATGATTAGTACACATTTCATTTTAGTGAATTGAGTTTGAAAGTCTTTAATGAATCTTAATTCTCAAATTAAAGCTTTTCTTATCATTCAATCAACAAGCGTTACAATCAGACAAATGCCTGAACAAGATCAATGAACCTTTAAAATGAACAATATAAACATATGCCAATTAATTTCAAGCTACTTTAGAGCTTTCTAAGTAAATTCATTAAAATTGAAAAGGTAAAAAAACACAAAATCAAAGCTTGAACAAAAATCATAAGTATAACAAAACCTAAAAAATAAGTTTACCAAAAATAATCCATTAACCCAAAAAAAAAAAAAAAGACATATGACAATTATTTTCAAGATAATTAAGTGTTTTTAAAGCAAATTAACTTAACTAAAAGGTAAAAATGACAAAGCTTCACAAAAAAAATTAAAATTCACATAAAAAATATTATAACTAAATCACACACCACTAAATTCATATCAAATATAATCAAAAGTCAAATTAGGATTTTCCATGGCTCCGATGATTTCGATAAATTCACAGGATAATTCCACAAATAAAAAAATTAAAATTTAACTAGAACCACAGTAAAATTATAAGCAAAACAAAACCCAGGCAGATAGCACCTAAAATGACATCACAAAAATACTTCATTTCAAGAAAAGTCATGAACAAAATAAATCAGCTTGTAAAGAAACCAACAAAAACAAAAAGCAAATCAAACACAAAAAAAATAAAAATAGATGAAGAAAAAAAACAATCAGAGATGAAGAGAAAAAAATCATACCTTTCACCTAAATCGAAATCTCAGATTAGAACAACCACTTCTTAACCCAAAGCAAAGAACTAAAAACACCCAAAAAGGGATCTTGGATTAAAGAGAAAACCCTAATGTTTAAGAAAAAAAAAAATCAACCTCTAGAGAGACGGAAATACTTTTAAGGATAAATATAATATGAAATTAAAAGACACAAAGAAGATATTTATATAGAAAAACTGAAGTGTTAAGACATTAAATCTTTTGTAATTTTATATATAAAATTGCGTGCATTTATTTCTTTACAAAATTTTCATGAATTTGACCAAAACAATCCTCATCCAACCAAGAGAGGCCACGTCACTCACTAACTTGCCAAAACCCTAGTCAAACAAAAGTATAGTGGTATGTGACACGTGAAAAGTTATTTTTTAATAAGAAAATAAGGAATAAAACTCCTAAATATATGCGGCCGTTGTAAACAAAATGAAAAAGAAGAAGTAAATATTATGAAAAAAATAACCCTAATATTTTACATAATGGGAAGGTAAATGAAAATCAATAAACTAGAAAAGGAAAAAAATAATTACTGATTTGCTAAAAAGAATAGTAAAAAATATAAGTGGGGTACTCTTGAAAATAAGGAATAATAATAATAATAATAATAATAATAACAATAAATTATTTAGGATAATAAGAATCCAATATTTGTGTAATTTATGATTTCTCCTTTAATTATATTATATTATTATAGCAACTTGTTCATTTTTTTTCTAATAATATCTTTCCAAGATTTATATACATTTTTTTATAAAATAAGAGGGGTTTAATTTATAATATATATATATATATATATACTTGTCACGATCTAAACGGTTGTGAAAGGTCTCACTCTAAATTTTGGTACGAGAATCAATTATTCCAGCCAACACTTAACAAACAATTAAAATAGTAGTCTCATTAATTAAAGTAAATATTCATAAGTTTTGATGGAAAACGTGCGGAAATAATTTTTTTAGAATCTGAAAGTCGTGTATCAAAACATCTAACATCGCCTAGAATATAGGGATGCAATCCCAAAACAGGAAAAATCTAAGTCCGAACAATGGATTAGAGAAAAAATATGATCTATGGCAGCCCGGAAAAAGCAAATCAACTTTAGATTTAGAAAACATGGAAATCACAACTAAGGTCACACAACAACAATTGAAATATGTCATGTACTTAAAAAAAAAGTACAATATCAATACTCAAAAAAATAATGTACTAATAGGATCATCGACCAACTGCAAATATATGAAATACGAACAAGTAACTCATCACCATGACATACATAACAACCACAACAAAATATGTCCAACATTGTCACAAATAAATAAATCTAGTTCACTCGTACAATCACCTAACAAAGGAATAAGAGTCTGAAAAATACCCCAACTTTGATCGAATTTGCTGTTGCGATACTAAACTTTCATGAGGACCTATTACCTCCCTAGCTATTTAATACCATATTTTAAACATATATATTTGCCCACGTGGACATAAAAAATAATGCAAAATTATAAATAGTAATGTGTCTACGTGGACACATATATACCTTTAAAATACACTATTAAATAGTTTAGAGGGTAAAAAATACGATATTAAATAGTCTAGGGAGGTAATAGGTCCTCATAAAAGTTTAGTATCGCAACAGCAAATTCGACCAAAGCTGAGGTATTTTTCAAACCCTTATCCCCTAACAAAATAATTAACATAAATCAGGTGCGATACCCGAACCAACCAATATCAATTATATACTAATACGCTCAAATTACACCTCTAATAGAAGTATAAAGCGATTGTTGACCAAATAAAGAACCTAACAAAGGTTAGGATCGATCCCATGAGGAATATAATAGGGTTCAAAGTTCGACAAATCCTTTTTTTCTAAAAATAAATAAATTACAATTTGCCCAATTATGGACGAACCCTATGTGTTTTTCATAAAAAAAAAGATCGATACGTAAAAGTTCTAACTTGTCTTAGTTAGTTCAATTTTAAAAAAAAATATATATATTAGAGTTTGCCTGGAATTGAACGAACTGCAACATCTTTTTGTTTAAAAAGATTGGAGTTCGCCTCATCACGAAAGAACCCTAAAAAAATTTATAACAAAATATGTGCCTTAGTTCATGAACTAATTTTTTTTTTCCAGAGTTCATTCCTAATTGAACAAATCCCAATATATATTTTTTTTAAATGTGATATCTTTGTTATTTTTCATATATAATGATGCTCTTAAATCTCACGAAAATTTAATATAAATAAATTAAAAATTTTCAAAAAGAAGAGACTAAGAAGCATCGCAAGTAGGCTCTGAGATAGAAAAATATCAAGGTGATGCTCGAGAAATATTAGATGAAAAGAGGGCTGAAAATAAATTCCTTGTGGTTGATAAAAGTGATGTCCATGATCAAGTAGTTGTGGCACGAGATTTGGAGTGCCAAAATAAAGAAAATTTTGGGCAACTCTTAGGCAAAGCAGTTGCGCACAAATCAGCTTCAGGGGATCAAAGTTTAACCATTAGAAATACTTTGGTCCTAGAGTCGCAAGTTGATTTTGGACAGCAATCAAATAGCAACACTGTTGAAAACAAAAGTGTTACTGGTGCGAAACTTGGCGTTAAAAATACCAGAGAAATAAGCATTAATAACGAAGGTCGAAAAACTGGTTTTTTGCATATTGATTCTTAGAGTGTTGATGATATTCATTCATCAGGGAATAAAGTTGGAGCTATTGAAACATTAGAGAAAAAATTGAATGAAAATCAGCTTTCTTTGACTACAAATTCTACTTTAGTTCACACTGATGATGAGGGCCAAAACAATCCAGCTACAATCGTGGCGTCGACAATAGATGATGGGCATCAACTAAATGTAACCAGAGGTGATGTAGTGCTTATTGGAAAATCAGGACATCCATTGGCAACTAACACAACTGTTGATTTGGCATTAGATCCCGTGAATGCAAAGGTAGTGGCAGATGGACCGCAACATGATGCTCGGGGTGTTGAAACTATTGAATGTTTGGTTGACAACATGACGCGCAGGTCGACAATGCCAATCAAAATTTTGAAAGTGATGTCGAAACTAATTCAATTGCCTTGATGAATGCCAAGAGTACAGGTGGGAGAGTGGAACTGGTACATGAATCTAAATGGGCTGTGGTGACGAAGAAAAAATCTCCAAGTATTGGAATTGGTTCGCCTATTAGTAACACAGTGCAACAAGTTGTAGATAGTCAAACTACGAATTCAGGTGCTCGAGAAATTGTTCCACAAGAGGTCATGTGTTTTAACACTTTTGATGCTCTTACGAATAATTTTGTGCATGAGATCAATTCATCTCAAGTTAACTCTACTAATGAATTAGTTATTTCTAAGGAAAAACAATGTGCGACAAGTACTCTGAGATGGATAGATATAGCAGATGAAGAGGAGGAACAAGTCACTTCTCCTCCTATGCAAAAGAAATTGAGCCCAACAGCTCATGCTTTTGTGCGTAGTAGTGCCAAGTTAGTAACTCCCTCGCAAGGTTTGTCACCATCAACAAATGTTGCTGCAATCTTAAGTGATCGTTTGGTGAGTTCTAATATTGAAAAATTGGCTTCACTTGCACCGATTACATTAACAAACAACTTCAAATTTGTGGTAGTAGTACTTTGTCCCCAAATAAGTTTGCTAACCTAGATGATGAGGACATCTCTGATCAGGGTGAGGAAGGTGAGGAAGAGGAAATGCTGGATTGTTGTTTTGCAATTGCAGCTAGGAATGCAGATATTTCTCCTAGGCAACAACGCAACAACAAAACGAAGCATGAAAGAAATTAAAGCATAGTTGGGATGGTAAAGTGACTGAGGAATTTGTTCCAAGGCAACTACCGATACGACTTGCAAAGCAAAATCATATGACAATATCAATAACTTCAACACGATTCAATAAAGCCAAGAAGTGATGCACTATCAACTGTTATTGGACATATTTGAAGAAGAAGACAAGAGAAACATATTTCAGGTTCCTTTAGAAGGCCAATCTATCTTGTTTAGTTCATACATTCGTAAAAGGAAGTTTGAGGTTGATAACTCAACTTTCTCCTTGGCCTTTATGATTTTTCATTACTTGAGAATCCTCACTTGTAATATCATCATAGTGTGTATTATAAACTTGGTGATGATCATAGAATATCTAGTTCTCTCTAGCTCGTATTTTCTTCATGGTTGTTAATTAGTAGAGGTTAGGTACCTCATTAGGATTGGTAAGGTAAGGTCTAGCCTTCCTTAATTGTACTTATTCCTATTGAAATTTTTTTATGATTGTTATTAATAAATTTTTTATATTTAAAAAAAATAAAAATTGACTCTCGTGATTGTAATTTATATAGTTAAATTAGTACTTAGCAGTGATGTTTGTAGATCTAAATATAACAAACATAGTTATTATTGAACATACCTAAAGAGGAATCGTTGTCCTCGTCGACATCAAATAAATAGTAAAATTTATTTTATGAAAAAAGTTTTCAAGTATTAATACTTTTATCATTGAAAAAAATCATTATTTTATATATATATATTTACGTGACAAGCTAATAAAAAGAATTGTAGTTCATCCATTTATGGATGATCTAAGTTTGTATAATATTATTTTGGATAAATTTGAAGTTAACGGGGATGACAATGTTAAAAATAATAGTTATAATTTCCTTGTAAATAAGGAAACGGTCCATTTTGATATGTGTTTTCACAAAATCCTTTTAATATTTAGGGTTTCAAAAAATGTCTATTTTGATGCCGAACTCTAACCTACTGCGTCTTCCAAAATAATCTAACCAACTTTGACATATAGCGTCAACATATAATAATTTTAATAATTGTAATGATCATATTACAGTAAGATTCGGACAGATGCATTTTGTTGGAAAGTTCCAATTTTGTTCTTCGCTTGCAGTACATGTATGCAAATTAAAAAAATAAAAGCAAGTAATTACTCTATTTATTAGTCCAAAATCTTGACTTGTTTTTCAGCTCAACTGATCGGGATCCATGGCGACGGTGGAGACAGACGACGCTGCTGCGGGGCTCCGATCTCAGTTCCTCCAAGTCCTTCGTAGCCGTCGTCCTTCTGAAGGTCTCTTTTTTTTTTTTTAATGATCTGGTCTACGAATCGATTGAAGTTTTGGGGATAAATTGCATTTGAACTTTACTGCTATAATGACTGTCAAGCTTTTAACTTTTTGAATCATAGTTCTTAGTCAATTTAGTGCTGTCATTGTCAATCGATTCCAGCATTTGTATTTTCCCTTTTTTCTGCAATAACCTGTCAAAATTAGTTGCCTTTTTTTCTTTCCGCATTTTGTTCGTTCTTAGTATGATTGCTGTACGAATTAACCATTTCCACCCATTTTTCTGGGTTTGGGGATGGGTGGCAACTTCCAGTGTTCATTAATTTTTTATTTTTTTTCTGTGTGTGTGGAGGAGGGGTCTGATTTTGGAACTGAACTGGGGAATAATTGATAGAAGGGATTATTTAGAAACGGAAGACTAGAATGGAACAGAAAAGTGTAGCAGCTGAATGATGCAAATCTGATTAGATGGTTGCAATTCTGTAAGATAATTAAGCTTGGGTTCATTGGAGACTGAAATTGTGAGTGGTGGAGAGTTTTGTTCTAATCTTGTTTCGTGGAATGAGAGGATAGAGGAAGTAGAAATGACTGTCAAGGATGAGAAGAGATGGGAGGATGACATTAGTAGTTTACTTGGCAGGAATAATGAAGCTGAACTCTTGTACAATAACGGTACTGTAGTAGCCCTTTCTGGTAGCAAGAGTGCATCTTGAGATCATCAGTTCTATCTCTTGGTAGATTCAATGAATTACTGTCAAAGTTGTGTCTTTTTATTTCTTTATCTCTTGGGTGGTAATTAAGAAGTTTTATTGTCTGGTCTAGTTCCTCCCTGTTGCCTACTTATATTTTGGATGTTAAATTAACAAGCTTGTAAATGCTTGGTCTAATTCTTTCCAGTTCCACTATCTGTAATACCGGGAAAACCTGTGAAGGATCCTTTCTTTCAGGAATCTCCAAAGCCAACCTTCAGTGAGGTACAAAACTACTATGATTTCTTTGTACTGCCAATTCTATACTCCGGAGACTTCATTTTAACATTTTTATCTGAAAATACAGGCAATGGCATCATGCCCAAAGGAAGATATACCCAATTTTAAGGAACTGCTTCAAGAGGAAAATTTCTACCTGACTACTGAGGTGATATGATTTTAGAAGTATATTTCGTCGATTAATCTACTTATTAGTGTGTAACCAAATTCCGTTTATTAAACGATGTACCTCCTGAGTAGTCGAATAAGCATTTAGATGATGATCTTCTGACTTCTGAGATGTGGTTACTTTTGTAATAATCTATTTGAGATATGACTAAATTAGGTAGCTGTAACTCTCTTACTGTTTGCAGGAAGGAGGGCAAGGGCTCTTGCCTGTATTGGTATTGAGCATGAAAGAAAGTGAAAAGAAAAGGAGGCCTACTATTGTTTTCCTGCATAGCACGAACAAATGCAAAGAGTGGTTGAGGCCATTGCTTGAGGTGACATCTGTTGTTTTCTTCAATATTCTTGAGTTCTCACTACAATGGAGTATCAAGGATAATTTTTTCTTTTAGGGATATGCTTCAAGGGGATATATTGCTGTTGCAATTGATTCTCGATACCATGGAGAACGTGCGACCAGCATCACAACCTATCGAGATGTTAGTATTTTGCCTTTTGCTTATGTGTATATTCAATTAGCTGATATAGAAAAGAACTTTCCTCTCCGGATGCTTATGCAACAGTGGGCTATCCAAAATTTGTGATATGTAGTTTTAAATCATGTTATGGATATGGTGAATAGATGATACCGCTGGCTTTTGGTTGTTTGATGATGGAGTTTCTGTTTGAACTCTAGCCCATGAAAGGCCTGAATATAGACAAATGGGAGTAAGCTAAACACGGGAAATACTTTCTCTCACAATTGGCTTCACAATAAGAATACTCTTTTATGAGTGGTTTTTATAATGAGAATAAGTAATGGTGATCCAATCAATTATGCTTGAATACTACTATACATGGTTGACTTGATCTTGCTAACATCTTCTTTTCTGTAGTACAGTCCCTAGTGTCATCATGGAAAAATGGAGATACAATGCCATTCATATTTGATACGGTAATAATTAAAAAAACTAACCTAATTCTACCATTTGAGAAGCTTGGTGAAATTTTGTTGTTATTCTCGAACTGCCATGATGAGTAGTTGATATATGGGGCTCTGAGCATATCTTTTGCTGAGCTTTGAAGGTTTGGGACTTGATAAAACTGGCAGATTATCTTACTGAGAGGGAAGATGTTGACCCATCAAAGATAGGAATCACTGGCGAGTCTCTTGGAGGTTTGACAAGTGAATTAGGAAATTTACATAACAGTATCTGAAAGAACATCAGATTCAAATACTTTCTGCCTTGCAGGTATGCATGCTTGGTTTGCTGCATTTGTTGACACTCGCTATTCTGTGGTTGTCCCTATAATTGGTGTTCAGGTACCTCATGTTAAGTATAATAGGATCAGTGATAGATTTTAATTGATACAAGATTATGATGAGAATATCGAAATGAGGTTGTAGGGTTTTGGATGGGCAATTGAGCATGATAAGTGGCAAGCAAGAGTTAACAGTATCAAGGCTGTCTTTGAAGGTGAACGCAACTCCAAGAACCTTATTAGTTGGATCAGCTACTTTACTGTTGTCTATATGCTCCCCATCACATCTGACTCACTTGTTTGTTACCAGCTACTTTAGTGCTGCATATAGGGTTCTTTACTTATCTGTTTTAGTTATTTTGTTTTCAGAAGCACGTGCTGATTTAGACAAGAGTGCAATTGATAAAGAAGTGGTTCAGAAGGTTAGGCTGATAACTTTCATGTTTAATTTTTTTTTTCATTCATGCATGATGAGAAATTCAAATACTGTGGTCTTCCTGTTCCTTCTCAAGATTATTTAAGAGGCATTCATGTGATGCGAGGTTCGGCAGACTCCGAGCTATATATTGATACACTAAAATAAGGTATAGGATGGGATATGTACATTACTGATTAAATTTGGGGGAAGGGGCAGCAGTATGTGGTCTTATATTATTACATTCTAGGTAGGCTAAAGGAAGTTTTATTGGAGCAAACCTGAGCTATATGTCGTGGTTGCAGCCTTGTAAAATTAATCACTTCCATCAAAAACTTGAAATAGAAAAGTTCATTCCTCCAGGTATTGTCTGTCTGACAGCATTATAAACATTCATCACTATTTTGGTAGTACAAGTTCGTGTTACAGTCTTAGGAGTTATGGGAACTGATTGATCTTAGATTTAGAAAAGATTTGAGTTCATAGTCCTAAATGTTATACTTGTGATGCTTCTTGCGATTATCTTTATAAGTTGAATATCGGACATTGTTAAAATCTATAGCACGCTTCTCAAATGTTGTATTTCATGGAACTATCTGATGTTTACTTAGTAGCATATCTCACCAGGTCTGGGATAGGATTGCCCCGGGTTTGGCGTCTCAATTTGATGCACCATACACAGTTCCAACTATTGCACCACGCCCGTTACTGATTTTAAATGGTACAAGAATCTACATATCTTAAATAATGACAAAAGAATTCGTTACATTTATTACCCTTCAATCATCATGTGCTCTTTTCCTTCTCTTGCTGTTTAAAGGATAAGTCTACTTTTCCAAATATTGTAGGGGGAGATGATCCTCGTTGCCCACTAGGTGGCCTGGAAATTCCAGAATCAAGAACTCTCAGAGCTTGTAAAAAGACTAAGTGTCCTCAGAATTTTAAGGTACAAAGCTTACCTCCAGCCTGCTTTTTCTGTGAAAAGAAACAGAAACTTTTTTCCTTACTTAGCTGTCATTAAGTATGAGTTTTGAGGACCTTAAAGGAACCAAATGAACATATTATGGTATGAACTCACAAATAACTGATTATGAAGTGGATACTGCTGCAATTCAGTACTTGAATCTAAAAATAACATGTTTAAATTTCCTTTTTTATAAAGTTATTTCTATGAAACTAGGGAGTGGAAGGGTAAGACTCAAAGGAGTAGTGCGAAACTATTGTGTGGGGAGACTCATACTGATGTCATTAAACCATAAGCCTTCGTGGTTGACCTGTTTCAATTACTTTTGAGGACCTTTTAATTTTTTTCCCTTTTCCATTCACTTCATTTGGGATAACTTTGTCTCCAACTTGTTCTTTCGGACTTTTCATACTCTTTACTTCAATCCGCTCAGAACTGTCACTTTGTAAAAATCTAACCGAATTAGTTAATCAAATCTCTAGAATAATGGCTTTCCTAATACCAACTGGTCTTTTAGTTCTTGGATTTTACTTCTCTGTTGCAACTTGGAAGTAAATATCTATTTCTTGCAACTAGCATTGCTGAAGAACATGTCCTTTAATTTACTACCTTCTTTTTTGGGTGATCAATCTTCTTAGGTTCTGAAATGCTTGTTCTAATAATTTTCAGCTGATAGCGCAACCTGGAATTGGTCATCAAATGACACCATTGATGGTAAAAGAAGCAAGTGACTGGTTTGACAGATTTCTTAAAGTATAATCACCAGTGTACAATAAAATCTTGAAGGATAGCTGCTAAAGCTTGCAATTTGTATTATTTGCTTGTATTTGGACTTCCATTTCTTTTTATATTATGACGACTATGTTTTCCACGAGGGGTGTATTTTTGGACAGAAGAATAATTCTCCAGAGAAGTTTGAGAATTTAAGGAAAATGGATGTCTACAAACCAAATTGTTCTTTTTTTTATGGTGACATTGGCATAATTCAGTGTAAGACAACTTCGATATATATATTAGAGTCCAACTAAATTCGAATTCGCATTGGAAAGTTCTATATTTGGGTAAAGTGCTTCCTACACTCATACTATTAATGATTTTCTTACACTCATACTATTAATGATTTTCTTGTTGGATACTTGATCCTCTTGTAAAATTGAAACCCTACTCAAGTTTAACACCATTAATAGTTCTAGGGGAAAGTTGCCTTTGGTGTTCCCTTTTTTTCTCAACTCTGTCTATTTGTCCATCATCTTCAGTTTCGGATTTTCTGCCATCACGTGGATACTCCCACCATTCCAATTTACGTGACACTGTTTAACTAGTTACGAAGTTTAAGAAAGAAACACTTTTTTTTTTAAATTGTGGTCCAAAACAAATATTTGTGTGGTTATAAATTATTTTGTTAAGGGTAATAGGAAAAATTTAATGTTAAGTTTTTTTCTAGTTATAGATTGATAACATTCTCTTTGAAATCGACTAAAAAAGAATGTGTGCTATCTAAATTGGGACACAGAGAATACTAGTTTTGGTTGGATGAATAGTTGATATACATGGTTAAAATTACTCTTTATGTTTTTACGTAGCTGTTGAACCCCCTTTGCCTAGTTTTCATGTTTACTTCTTTCGATTTTGAATCCCTTAGTGAAAATTTTGGCTCGGCTACTCGTCCATTAGGAAAAGTTCAGCCTACATTAAAAGGGAATACTTTGAACAAAAGGAACTTTGAGAAACTTTGGGATACTGCATTCACCTTTTCTCAGATGATTACATTATAGAGCCAACACTGGAACCATACAGTTTGGCTTCTTTTACATCTACCATCAACTAACTTGAGGGAAAAGAATTTCGAAACAGTTAAAGAAATCAAGCCTAATTGACTAACTGATTTTACATAATGAAACTCCTATCTAATCCCAGTGCAAACCAAATTTCACTCCTTATTTCCAAGCAAATAATTCAGCATGATCGCGTTCCTGCTGCTTCTGCATTTGATTCTATGATAGTATCTGTAGTTAGGTCAACACGATCCTCCCTACGATGCATCATGAAGGACGAAGGACGTCAATGAATTGAACAAATAAGCTATGACATATAGATGAAGATGAACAAGAATGGTTACAATATCCTTACCAAGGGTAGACCTTTTGCAGCTTTCTGTTCCAAGAATGTTGATGGCTTAAAGAAATCACCATAGGCCTCATACCAACCTTTTAGCTTCGAGTATATGTACTCACATCCAATGGTATCAGCCCAAAACATGACGCCTCCACTGCATAGAATATAGTCATACAGTCATTACAATATGTTCAATAGCTAGTACGTACAGAATAGACGATGAATTATCTACATAGAGGTGGCCTGATTTCTGCTTTCTACTTACGTTTCTGAAGGAAATTTGAATCCATGGACAGATGCAATGTCAATATCAGATGCTCGGACAACTATTCCTTCCTCAATAACTCGACAAGCCTCATTCACCACTGGAAAGAAAATCATTTCTAGAATTTCTTCATCTGTCACAGATATTGGCTGCAGAATCACACATAACAAAATCATGTTAGCCTTGTATCACTCGAACATGAACAATATAGCATTGTTGTTACGCGTGAATTTTAATCAGCTGTAACAGACCTTTCCAGCAGGAGCAATATTAGTAAGTCTCATAGACTCCTCAACGATTTGTAGCACAGAGTGATCAGCTTCTGGCTTGCTTCCTTTATTATACGTGTAATATCCTTTACCATTCTTCTTACCTACGACGTAATACATATACATTTAGAAAACCAGACCACTTTAAAGGAGTCATTTAACTTCTTAAATTGAAACTTACATTCCCTTCAAAATTCTGTTTCCTTAAATTTGAATTTGAGAAATGTTATCAAGCCAAGAGTTAAGTGGAAAACATAAATGTGTTTGTTCAGTACCTTCCCGTCCATTTTCTACCATTAGTTGAACCAATGGAGACTGAAAAGCGCGGTCTGGATAAGCAGCAACAAACTCTTCTACACCAGCCAAAAATATACCATAGCCGGTAAGATCCTGAAGCCTGCATAACATAATATACTAAAATGTTAATATGAAGTATGAACAAAATTGGTGTAAATACACAGAGGTGCAGATATATTGTGTATGCTCATGTCAAGATGAACAATTTTCAGTCTAGAGAAAAACTTACTGAAAAGGACCAAGTCGCATGCCAAACTCAGTGATAACGCGGTCAATTCTGAAGATATCAACGCCTAAATTTGCCAACAGGTCTGGTCCTTGCATATAAGGGAAGAAGCTCCGGTTGACAGCAAAACCAGTACAATTTTTCACTACAATGGGGACTTTCTTCAAAATCTTGGTGAATTTTATAACATCAACAATTACTTGTGGAGAAGTAGTTTCCGTCCTCACGACTTCCACCAGAGGCATCAAATGTGCAGGACTTCATCCATGAAAAGAAACAAAAATGAAAAACAATAATTAAGCAACAGAATAAGTCATGAAACAGTAATAGTATATACTCTCAGAAGGCAAAAAGTCTGTATAAAATTGAACCTCACCTGAATAAATGTATCCCCAAAATGCGATCTTGGCTACTTGTTCTTTTCCCAATCACATCAAGACTAATTGTAGATGTGTTTGATGCAAAAATGCACTCTGAAGTACAAACTTTCTCAATATCCTCAAAAATTGATTGTTTCAGAGACACATTCTCGTTAACAGCCTAAAAGAGAGAGACATAGATTTCATCAGAAATACCTTTAATATGCATTAGCTACAAGGATACGCGAAAGACATCCAATATGAAAATAAAAATAATGATTCAGCATGGTAACTAAGAGGAAGAGGTGGTAAATGTATTACTATTACCTCAATAACCATGTCGACGTCTTTCAAGTCTTCATAGTCTAAAGTTCCTTTAAGAAGAGACAAAGTCCTTTTCATCTTATCCTGATTCAGCTTTCCTCTTGTTACAAAGCCTTGTAGATTTGCTGCAACACAAATAGCATAACAATAATTCAGACTTGACTTAATAGAACAACATGCGGAACATTACATTATACAAAGTTATTCAACATGTTATATACTAACCTTCTACTGATTTCAAAGCTTTCGATAAATATTCATGGTTAATTTCTTTAAGTACAACACTAATGTTGCTGATAATGAGAGCTGTAGCAATACCAGATCCCATTAATCCACCACCAACAACTGCAACTTTTTCTATTCTCCGAGGCTTAAGCCCAATATCAGTAACACTTGGTACCTGTAAATTGTATTTATCACTTTGTTAGACTACATTGTAGTAGGCCCTAGAAACAGCTCCAATTTCTTTGTCCATTCTTAATTAGACATGAATTTATGGCCTAATATCTATCGGAAACTGACCTTTGTTGTTGCACGTTCGGATAGAAATGCATGAAGAAGACCTTTTGCAGTATTTGACAACACTAGCTCTTTAAATACCTTATCTTCCTGCAATTAGTTACACATTGATTATAAGGAAGAAGCAAACAAAGTTACTCGGAAGGAAATCGTAGAAATCACCATAGCAACTATAGGAAATAAATGTTTCCCATGTCCTAACTGAATGATTAGGGGGGAGAGATATGAAGTCATTGACATATCAAAGCAAAATACATACGTAATGCCATAAGATTGTTCACCTTAAGAACACCAGCATATCCTCCAGCTACAATACCTTCTTCGATCACATCAAGACAGGCTATATAACGAGGCACTGTATAACGTTGTCTAGCACTTTTCAGTATCTCAAGTGACTCATCCTTAGGTCCAAGTTTATCCGTCTTTTCAAGAGAATTACAATTTGGCTGGCGGCCTTCAACAATGTCAAGTGCCCAACACCGAGCAACTATCAAGAGCTCCTCTGAAGAGACAATGGCATCAATAAGACCCAACTCCTTCCCTTCTTCAGAAGTTATAGTCTTGGATGACTGTTCAATATTTACACAAAACTTCAGCTTCAGCAATCTTTACATTACCATCTAAACTACGTACAACGACTGATTACATAGCGTATGCTACCTACACTTACCATCAACATATCAACAGCCTTTGAGGTCCCAACTAGCCTTGGAAGCCTTTGAGTGCCTAATAACACATGTCCAATTAGTTTTCCAAACTTAAAACAGAGAGGCCTACCAAATCATAAACATATAAGTATAAAAGAAATGTACCTCCACATCCTGGAATAACTCCAAGCTTCAGCTCAGGTAAACCAAGATCACATTTTGGCGTGGCAATTCGAGCACTACACCCCTACACAATTTATAAACAAATAAATTAAATTTTGAGAAACATTGAATTATAATGAAATGAAAAAAAGTAGAACAGAGTGAACAAACCATAGCCAACTCCAAACCACCACCAAGAGCAAATCCTTGAATTGCAGCAACAGAAGGCTTCTTTCCATCTATATATAATAATATGATCACCAAAGTTTTGGTTACATAATCAAATTACTACTACATATTAATTACCAACTTTAGATTATGAACATACTTTCGATTTTATTAACCACTAGACCAATCGATGCATCGGGTAGAAGTGATATATCTCCTGAAATTTTAAAATTAGGAAAAAACTGGTTAGCCAACATTAGGTACGTACATTAGTTGATCAAATAAGTGAGGTAAAATTTACCATGCTTATGAACATTCTCCATAACACTGATGTCCAAACCTCCACAAAATCTACCATTCGCACCTATAAACATACAAATTTGAGGACGACAAACAAATTAAAATGGAAGTGTTAATCTAGCACAAAGACATTAGCAGCTCATAAATATCATAACAATAGAAGCTATGATGAACAAATTTGAACATTAGATTTACAATACTAATCTGTTTGACACTTTTGCTT